AATATTTCAATAATTCTTTGACATGATATGGATCAATCAATCATATACTCAGAAAAATAGTATAGAAAAATTGATGAAAATTGAGAAAATTACATTAAATAACAAATGAAAAACTATTGAAAGATGAGGAGGAGGGTGGGCAAAATTATCTCAAAACTACTTTGTATTTTTAATTATTTACGGTTAGATATTGTTTTTAATATTTGTGAATTAATATTTAACAGTATTTGCAATATAAGAAACGTCAAAATGTGATATGGTTTGGCTTGGAAAAACGCTAAATGATGATCATTGCTATAGATACTGATGCAGAAAAATATCTGAAAGAATGAATACATGTGTTCTTAAATTAAAGATAAGAACCATCGACATGACATTGGATGAGTCAGGTTGAAAACATGAAAAGCATGTGAAATATGAATTGAATAACATACGTCTAATACCTAGTTAAAGTTAAACAAAACTGGAGATGCCGGTTTGTATGATTGATATTAGTAAGTAACAATAGTAATGAAACAATATAAAGTTGAACATGACAAATTAATTGGCAGTGGAGGAGGGTGGGCCAATTAAAAAAATAACAAAATTATTGTAATGATAATTAAATAATGTTACATATTGTTTTATGTCACTCAACAATATAAACGAAAGTTTATTCAAAAATGGAATTATTTCAACTGAAAGTAAACAAATAATTTTGTAACCGCAAAATCGAAACAAGACAAGATACTTAGTATCTAGTCATTCATCAAGATAGACTATTTCTAACTTTGAACCCATAGGTTGGGTCTAGTGAATTTTAAATAGAATAGGTGAGGTCATCGGTTTTGCATATAATTGTAATGAGCTGAATATTCAACGGGCCAATTATATGTTTCAGTTTAGCAAAAATGATTCCAATTCTTACTGAAAACAATCCATAAAAGTGAGTTAGTTTAGGAAAAAAAAATCTGTTCAAACTACTGTGTAACATTATTGATTCTGTTTTTATTTATGTAAATTTTGAAAACCTTTGTGCATTTACTGATTACAAATTTATTTTTCATGAACATGGAAATTGCCTGGACTTATCTTGAGGACTTAGTGGAATGCTATTGAAGAAGTGCCCCATGGAAATCCAAAAGCAACAATCCCTGAGAAGTATCGATTCAAAATTATTTAAAGGTGCACCATCTTGCTACCTTCAGGTCAGGATTCTGCGCCTTTAGCCGACCCAGCACCCTCTCTTTTTCACCGGATGTCGTCTTGTGGACGTCCACCTCCCACAGGTTTAGACTTTTGAATTTTCCAACAATCTTACTCAGTCATTGCAAAATAATTGGAAGAATCTAAGAATTTGACTTTTAACATAATCATTTTATACATCATAAACATTTCGGGCTCAATATCAGTATTGGTAAATATATAATTCAATAAAAATAGCTGGTCAAACCTGCTAGCATTGTTCCCTATTACCATTTAATAGCATGTCCAATAGTGACTCAAGATAGTATTGAACATGCTTTAAGAAACACGTGTTGCAATTTTGTAAACTGTTTAGCAAAGTCTTACAATAATCTATTACTTGAATACTTATTTTCATCAAGTATCGGCCCATTTAATAACATAACGTGTAACAATGGCGGAAAGCTAGATGGCCATCTTGCCAATTTTAAATAGGCAAAGATTAGGGATAGTGATAGTGATACTCGAAAGAAAAAGTGTATTGAGTTTATTCAAACTAATTCATAAATTTATTATGCCACACAATGTATATGCTTGTCGCGACATTTGCCTGTGTAGATAAACAAGTTAACCACATGGAAGTTCATTCTGATTAGAAATTCTAAGACAAAATTTATCTTATTTAATACATCTAAAGCAATAAATCGATAGGTTTGATTCGATTTGAAGTTCATTTTTTCATTGTTGAAGTATCTGCATCAAAACTTGTTCCTAAAAATGATTTTTCCTTCAGTTTATTCAGGATGAATTCTCAAGAAAATTATTTGTAATGGTATGCGAGAGGTTTGGTGATCCAACTTTAATCAAATACTGTTTTTGATCCCTTTCCCAACCAATATTTGAAAATTATTTTTATTGAAATGGTTATGGGAATGTAATTCACATGACTTATTGGAAAGTCGTCAATTTTTTTGCAGAGACGAAATGAAAAATACTTTAATTTGAAGGTGGAATGAATATTTTTCTAAAATAAATGTGTAGATCATACATATAAGTTATTCTTAGATACAAACTAGAAGAAAAAGCCGTCTCGAAACAACTACTTTCATATGAACATTAAATTACATGAAAGAAAAAGTACTTTATGAACAACTACTTTTCACACTTGGGCTGAAATGTCCAGGGCTTAAGAAAAAAAACGCGTTTTTTTTGTTGAAAATTGACTTTATTCATCAACGCGATCTTCATCAAGAGCCAGACAATCATTCCAGCGTCGCTCTAATATTCAATACCACTTTTGTAGATGCCTATACACTGGTGTAGCGACTCATTCGTGTTGAATTTTAATGCAAATCTGTCTACCCATATGGCTTACTCGATTTCATTTACGTGGGTTGCTTTTTGAAAAGAACGCTAGATACCGTTAATGTCGTGTGACGGTACCGAGTTGCGCATTCTACATCGGATGGTGTGAATTTAGAAGTAGATATAAATTATTATCAAACACACGAAATATTATCGACCTTCTGAGATCCGACCTCCATGGGTCGGGAGCTCTGGATTGTCTACATGCAAGGTGCATTGGATGAGCTCAAGCGCTGGTACCTCGAATGGAAGATCCGAGTGAACCCGGACAAGACTCGGGCGATAACCAAAGGGAGAACGATCTCTTCTCCGGCCTGGAAAGTGATGATATCTGGAAGAGAGATCGACTGGCAAGAGCGAGTAAAGTACCTCGGTCTTCTAATATACCGTAGACTCACCTGGAACCCGCACTTCGAATTCGTGAAGGCAAAGATCGAGGGTCGGATCAAAAGTATGTACCCTCTGATCGATATGAAATCAAAAATGAGCTTTAAAAATAAAATTACGATATATAACACTATGTTTAAGCCTGTCATCATGGAGAAACTACAAAATAAGTTGATACGGATGATTGTGAATGGTCCGTGGCTCGTGCGGAATAAAGCCATCCGCAGAGAACAACTACTTTTCACACTTGGGCTGAAATGTCCCGGGCTTAAGAAAGAAAACACGTTTTTTTTGTTGAAAATTGGCTTTATTCATCAACGCGATCTTCATCAAGAGCCAATCATTCCAGCGTCGCTCTAATATTCAATACCACTTTTGTAGATGCCTATACACTGGTGTAGCGACTCATTCGTGTAGAATTTTAATGCAAATCTGTCTTCCCATATGACTTACTCGATTTCATTTACGTGGGTTGCTTTTTGAAAAGAACGCTAGATACCGTTAATGTCGCTGTTCGTGTGACGGTACCGAGTTGCGCATTCTACATCGGATGGTGTGAATTTAGAAGTAGATATAAATTATTATCAAACTCACACGAAATATTATCGACCTTCTGAGATCCGAGCGTGTGAAGATATCTCTTTACGCCGATGATACGGCTCTCCCCTCATCTTCCATGGGTCGGGAGCTCTAGATTGTCTACATGCAACGTGCATTGGATGAGCTCAAGCGCTGGTACCTCGAGTGAACCCGGACAAGACTTGGGCGATAACCAAAGGGAGAACGATCTCTTCTCCGGCCTGGAAAGTGATGATCTCTGGAAGAGAGATCGACTGGCAAGCGCGGGTAAGGTACCTCGGTCTTCTAATAGACCGTAGACTCACCTGGAACCCGCACTTCGAATTCGTGAAGGCAAATATCGAGGGTCGGATCAAAAGTATGTACCCTCTGATCGATATGAAATCAAAAATGAGCCTTAAAAATAAAATCACGATATATAACACTATGTTCAAGCCTGTCATCATGAAGAAACTACAAAATAAGTTGATACGGATGATTGTGAATGGTCCGTGGCTCGTGCGGAATAAAGCCATCCGCAGAGATTTGCAACTGCCTTCCATTCAATCGAGGAATCGACGAGTTTTTGATCGCTTGAAAACTCACGATAATCCGTTAGTTAGGGAAGCTATAGATTATGCTATAGACGACCTCTCCCAATATAGATGGCCCCGACACTCTGTATCATAAGGCCCTCATGTCCTCCGTTAAGGGATGAACAATTTTTTCATCCACTCACCCCAGCCAGGTAGGAGTACTCCGTGAATGGCGGTACTGATGTCTGGGGACATTCATACCGCCATCCCAAACTTAGTTCTGTACCATCTGTCCCAATTCTAGACACGAATTGGAAGCGGCAGTGATGCAAAGTTTTGCTTCTCTCACTCCTATTGAACCAATTATTTAGGCAAAAAAGTTCAGAAAAGGTGCTCTTGCCAGTCGATCTCACTTCCAGATATCACCACTTTTCTGGCAGGAAAAGATATCATTCTTCCCATGATTATCGCCTGAGTCTTGTCCGGGCTCACTCGGATCTTCCATTTGAGGTACCAGCGCTCAGGGTCATCCAATGCACGTTGCATGTAGAAGATTCTGAGCCCCTGACTCATGGAAGGTAAGAGGAGAGCTGTATCATCGGCGTAGAGAATTATTTTCACACGCTCGGACCTCGGAAGGTCGATAATATTTCGTGCAAGTTTCTACTTCTGAATTTACACCATCACGATGTAGAATGCGCAACACGGGACCATTACACTTACAGCCATATTAACGGTATCTAGTGTTCTTTTCAAAAAGAGGCCCACGTAAATGAAATCGAGTAAGCCATATGGGTCGACAGATTTGCATTAAAATTACACACGAATGAGTCGCTACACCAGTGTATAGGCGGCATCTCAGCTATAGTTTAAAAAAAAATCTGTTTTTCCGTTAATCATTATATAGTAAAACTGGTTTTTGTTTTATTTACTGTCTTGCAGAGTGTGCAAAATAAAAAATTGACTTCATATATTTTTTCCGATTGTCATTTGTGTTTTTGAAATATTTTTGAATATTCTGAAGACTGAACCAATATCTTCTCTCTTTTAATTCTTCCGAAACTGTATCATGATGGTAAGGTAAGTGGTTGCAGTCGTTACAACCTGAAAAACAAATAATTATTTATAGTACAGAGGCAATTCAAAAAAACTTTGCAAATTATTTTCGTTGGAATGGAAAGTATTTCATCTACATGTGGTAACGTTGTATTCACTGTGGTTTTCTGAGTATAATAAATCGTGTTGTCGCTTTCTCAACTAGTGAAGTGAATGACGCCATGACATTTTTTTAAGGACAAAAAACAAGCACTACACGAAAATCTTTAAGGCGCTAAGCGGTGCCTATACGAAAGTAGCGATTCACGTTGGATTCGAATCGCTGGAGATTAAATTCATTTGGAAAACCGTTCTCAGGAAGTTTATTACACATACCTACACGCAGTTCTCTAAATGAAAGAGTTCTATTCTTAAACATATTTAGATTTTTTGATATCTCAGTAAATGCGCAACTTATTTATATGATTGAGATGAAATTTCATAGGTATTTCAATGCTAAATGAATGGTGTTGACGGTAGCAGAAGTTAGTTTCATGTCTAGGCGGATATTTACGAATTGAAAGATATAATTTCAGAGGCACTTTTTTCAGCTCCAGATAGTGAAGAAAATAACATGAAATAATATGAAAAATATTTCAAATGAAACAATTTTCTATGGTTTTCAATAACGATGAATTCTTCATTTTTTAAATTACTCTAAAAATATATTTAACTGATTTAACTACTCGTCCGGATATACTCATCGAATCAGCCGATATTTGGAAGACTGATAGATATGTATGTCAGCAGTAAATTGTTGAAGTCCAATATGTTACCTATCAGATTCAAACTCAATATATTTTTTTAAATCGAAAAAGTATTTTGGAATATATGGGAATCTTCCAAAGAAAGGAAGAAAGCAATTGATTTCAAAATAAACGTTTCACATACATGTGTAGATGTGGATAGAAGTAACTTTTAGACAAAAAACTGAAAGAAAAAGCCCACTCGAAACTACTGCTTTCATATAAACATTGAATTACATGAAAGAATACTTTGGAAACAAATACTTTTATATGAACACTGAATTATACTACAAAAAACACTTTTCTTCATATTCAGTTTGTATTCCAAACATTCATTATGGAATCGAATCAGATAACTTTCACAGGATTACTACACAATCACTAACGCAACGGATTCTTATGCGGGTTTTTTCAATAGAAAGAATGATTGAAGAGGAACGTTTATATGTATATAATACATATAAACATATAACCTAACCTATAACACTGATGATTTTAGAGGTTTCTAATGTGATGTCGTAAATAAACACATGTATTATACACACATTTTCAAATAAATATTACTTTATTTATTTTGACAGGTAAAAGGATCCTCTGGCGTGAAATAAAAACACTTTTTCCACACCTAATAAAAGAAGCTAATAAAAACTATTAGCTTTGCTGAAAAGTTGTAAGTTTGGCGGCTGTGAAATCTCGAATCATACAGGGTGGGCGGTGGAAAACTTAACGCAAAGCATAACTGCCAGAATGACAATGTTTCGCAAAAATACAAAAACTCGTCAAGTTTGTTTGTATTGACCCAAAATACACTGCAAAACTATCAATCTCACTGGTTTCATTTCGACTCCCTATATGCTTTGCTTTTGAATATCGGAGTTATAGAGTGGTGAAAGTTCGTTTTCCAAAAATGCAAAAATCAATAGTTTTTGCCTGCCGAATCAATCAGGTAAATGCTGGAAATGTCTTTCAACCTTCATGCAATAATACAAATTATCCTAAAATCATTGTCGCCCCTACAGGCCTCCCAGTGAATGGAAAGTAATGGGATACAACCTTCTTTTTTAGGAGTTCTCACAAAAAATCCAAAGGCCTCGGGTTCGGTTACCGAGGAAGCCATTCTATTGTACCCCTTCGTCGTATGCAGCGACCTCGAAAGCCGTCGTTTACATAATCTTCAAGAAAAGAAGAATTCAAAAGATAATTTTTTCAAAATATGAGCTCAAACATTCATTCTTCAAAGGTTTTGTATATATACAACGTGAATAACCTGGTGTTTCTATCGCCCTAAAAACTACAATGAGCTACTTGCATGTCCCGCTATTGTTGGTCGAATGCTCACTTGCTACTGACAATTTCTTACCTAAAATTTATCAGATTTTTCGTGGCAGTAAAATGCCTTCTCGGACAATGTTAACGTCAAAAGGCGACTGTGTTATCCGCTATAAGTAGCCGTACGTCAAATCTAATATATTTGGGTATTTCAAAAAGAATGTGCACAGAACTCGCAACTGAGTCGGAAAGACCTACACCCTGAATCGGTACGACCAATTAGCTTTACATCCTTCCTGTTGAAAGGACACATCAGGAGGGTGGCATTATATACATTCCTCCTGAATAATCACCAGTATGCTTATCAAACCGGCAAATCGACAGATTTAGCATTAAACAACCTTGTAGAGAAATTTTTCCAATCCCTTAACAACGATATTGAAGGAACATTTGACATTGCACTACCTGAATCCATAGGATCATCTCTGACTAGGAAAGGTATAGAATCGACCATAACTGGCTGGATCTATGCCATGCTGGTAAACGAAACAGCAACTACGACCCTTCACAGCGAGGCCATTAGGTTCAGGGTCTAGTACTATCTCCCTTTCTGTGGTCGCTCCTGATAGGTAGTCTGCATGATGCCTTCGACAGGGACGGGTAGCTTGTAATATCCTCTAAAGCACGATGGAAGTTAATCACAGTTGGTGCCTGAGGGAGCAGATGTCTGTCAACCCCAGCAAAACTGTGATAATCCATTTCACCAGGCAGAGAAAATTGGACTGGACGATCTTTCGCCACTTTCCCTCAATGGTGAAGTCATTCCATTTGGAACGGCGATGAAATATCTTGGCATTGTCCTTGATAAAAAACTCATCTGGAACGCTCACTTGGAAAAAGTTTTACACAAAGCCAGACTGTCACTATGGACATGTCGAACAATTTGTGGTAAAACTTGGGGTTTAGGCCCCAAACAAATCCATTTGATTTATGTGATGATTGTCAGACCAATGATCTTATGGTGCAATTGCCTGGTGACCGAAAGCTTTACAGAAAACGGCCCAAGCAAAGCTTTCTGGCTTACAGAGACAGGATTGTCTGGTCATCAGTGGTGCCATCAGTACCACACCGTCAGCGGCCATGGAGATCCTTCTATATCTACCTCCTCTCCACATTTTTCTGGAGAGAGAAGCTAGATGGACTGCATATATACTTGTGAACATTGCTAATTGCACGAATCGATTTAATGCAGAGTGTAACAGACTGTTAGTTGACACTGGAAGTCACAACATTCTGGAAATAATCTTTGACTTTATGCCTCCAACTGTCAAATACGAACTGTCTTATAAAGTACTGTTCCCGAGTAGAGAGACTGGATCCTCCGGGCGAAGGAAGCTCTTGGCTCCTATCGAGCAATATCTAAATTGGTAGCAAATTGCCAAAAACGACTCTCCTCGATAGGAATACGTATCAGATTGTCTCTGGTCTGGATTCCTGCCCATACTGGCCTGGAAGGAATGAGGCTGCTGACTCCTTTGCAAAGGAGGGTGCTGCGAGCAGCTTCATCAGACCAAAACCTGACATTAGCATCGCTTTAGACTTTGCCAAACAAAGATTGAACACCTGGATGGCAAGAATATTTATGGACTTCTGGCAGAATCTACCAGGATTGGCTCACTTCAAGGCGTTCGTATGGGGGCGGCAGCTGATTAACGGAAAAACAGATTTTAAACAGATAAACAGATTTGGTCGAGTGTGAATAAGTGTGCGCCACGATAAACCCTTGCAGGTTGTGGTGGAGGGTCGAATAGACCCACTCACTTTGGACCTAACCTAACCTAACAACTGAGAAGGATCAAGGAATCTCCTGATGCTTTTCGTAATGATTATTTTTATTCAACAATCCAAACCGATGGTTGCGATGTTTACTTTAAAAACTCAAGTGAATTGAATGGCATCACATCGATTTGTATATAAAGGAGAGTTTTCTTGCGTGAAATATCATGACTAATATACATTTTTGAGGTGCTGATTTCAGATCTAAAGTCGAAGGGCCAATAAAAGAATACGTTCAAGTCCTACTATTGCCATCAACTATAACTTGGCAAGCAAAAGCTGAACGGCCAAAATATCAAATTGTTCTTACGCAATTTATGCCTAAAATTCAAACTAAAATTATGGGGTTTAATGTGAGGGCGATGACATCTTCCCTTACGAAAACGCCATCTGTGGAATCTACAGAGAAGTAAATTTTCGAATACAAAGGCGCTTTTGCGGCGCCGATGCCAAAAGGAGAAAGAGAGCGAAAGAGGCAGGAATGGCAGCGACTATAAGTGTACCTCCCTCCTCCCCCATTCCACCTCCAACAGCAAGGGCACTTCCTGCGGCGGGCGCCGAAAGGTCCGCCTTGAATAAAGGCAAGGAACCGGCTGCTCCTGCAGGAAAGCTCCCTCACTTGTATACATCCACGGAGGGAACCCAATTAAGGTTGAAGAAGCCGCGCAATGACAGTAATGTCGCTGCTCTTTCCAAAACCTTCGCGAAGGCTACCATGAGACATCTCAAGGTTGCCAAAGAGAGTGTATATTCGGCGAGTCTTGGTCTACACCTGCCAATGTAAAGGAGATGTCTCCTAGTGACCTGTCCACCTACCTGGAAAGGACAGAATAGACGATGACCTAGAAGGACATCTCCTCGGGAGGATGTACAATAGATCACATGTGGCCTAAGTTCTGTGGGTCTACACTCACTCTCCCTACAGATATAGATTCTCGAATATCGATATCGATCGCCATCATGGCCGGATTTGAGGGAAGGCAGGCGGGGCTACTGCTTCGGGCATCCAAAGGAGGGGGCCCCCACAAAAATATGCAAATTTTGACGGGTCAGAAACTTTTTCCCCTCAAACATTTCTTAAGTATACTAACTTGCCCAAACATAATATTGTTATGGATATATCAGAAAGCCCTGATTTTTTATTTGATCGAGCATTCCAGTGGCAATACTTTTTACAATATGTAATTTGTACCCATGATGTGAAAAGAGAAATGAAATAAATAAAAAATCCTGCTTCCCCTTATTTGAAAAAATTTTGATTTTCTCAGCGTAAAGTTAGAAATTCAACTTTCATTAAAAAATTAAGGGGCCTCCACTCCTTTATTGCCCCGGGACCTCCAGACTTCCAAATCCGGCCCTGACCGCCACCACCGTCCTGTTGTGTCTTTCACTGTAAGGCAAACTAGTTTGTAAAACTGAGCCCAACCACAACGCATTTGTAATTAAACACCAAACAGCGCTGTTTCGATTCTTCCTGGGTCTCAACAGTGGTTCTAGGCTGAACCACTAATGCATTGCTGGACTCGACTGTCCTTGAGGAACAGGACATATTTTTATTGAAAATTGATTTATCTTCTGCACTTTTCGAATGAGTATTATTGGCATTTCTTCAAATGAGATATCTTCTGAAGAGGGGAATGATGTTCCACTTGAGGTACCACTTGACCTCTATTCTCATGTAACAGAAATGGGGAATGACACCCCCTCTTATAGGGTTAAAGGTTTTGCAATTGTTTTCAGGTAAAAAATTGCCCCCTTTACAAATATACCTGACGTGTGTTTGAATTTTTGCGAAATTGACAAATACTCTCAGTATAATTTTGAAAATCAAACAGTTGAATAATTTTGAAGTATCAATTTACCTCATAGAGCAGAGTCATATCAATGTTGAAGAAATCGAATGCGGTGAAGTTCAAATTCCATTGAAGAATTTGTCTGCAAAATCTCTGAATCTGAAAATTAATATTAAAAATCAAATTATTAAGGAAGAATTGAGAGTTCCTTTCAATACATTGTTGAACGATACACACCTCTCTGCTGATTTCTGGTTGGTATTTGTTTTTCACGTCAAAGATAATATCTGCGCTCTTGAATACCTGAAAAATTAATTCTGAAGAATTGAACTGATTTTAATGATCAAATAGAAGAAATCCTGTGAATATAAAAAATTATCAACAAAAAACCAGTGGCATAGCCAGTAAGGATGTAAGATTTTGATGGTGTCACCCAAGCCAAGAATGAAAAATTGTCGAAAGCAACGAAATCCAATTGAATATCAAAGAAGTAGGAGTATCGAGAAGCAAATACAAATCAAAACACAGCAAGACCTAACATTCAATATGCTACACAATCCAATACACATTCCTAGAAACAATGAAACTAGAGAAACTCTAACATATAGGATATTACCTGATGTAACCCAAACACAGGCAAATTCAAAGAGACAAATACCTGCACTGGGGCCTTCTAACCGTATAAAAGAACCAACAAGACGATAAAACGTTCAGTTTGAGTAGAACCATGAAGATGATAGTATAGAAATTAGTTTGAAATTGGTTGACAATGTGGTTGGTGAATGTTACAGGTTCGGACTTCCATTGTCTAAGAAGGTATTGCTACGCTTTTCCCTGTGGGTTCAATAATAAATAACTACGCTGAACAATCATCAAACTAAGTTTATTTCACTGTTAATACTTCAACTAAAACTTCAACTATTTTTTCGAATGTCTATCGCCTTATAAGATCGCTCTGCAACGCACTGTCCGCGAGACTTAACTTCACTCGACTATATCGATATGCTCGTAATAGTATTTATAAATGGTGAACGAATTATCTCGACGTTGATAGAGAATTCAACAGAATTTCAAGGAAACGGCGCGAATATCGAACAGCCGCGAAACGTCGGCCGGACTGGGCGAGGTCTTGGCAACGTCACAATTGATTTATGGCCACCAGCGGTGGCGGCATTATTTTCTTTGGGGCATGCTTTACAAATCAATAAAATATCAAAATTGTTAAAAATACTGTAACAAATTAAAGAATTAACTGTCTAAAACAAATTTATTTCTAACAATATTTCACTATCACAAAATAATTTATATTCAACACTCAGCAACTAACGCTTAATTTATTTCCACTATTCGAATTCCTTATTTAACCACTCGATTCACTTTCTAAATTCAACTGCCCTCTCTGGACGAGAGCCAGCTTTATAAATCGGTAGAGATCCATGATAGAATTCTGTAGTCTGTTCGGTACTTGCCTAGAATTTTCCCGGCGGTGTCAGACTGCATTCTTTCGCGGCGAGTCATGTATTTATTCGATGGATCGGCTAGCGTATGGGTCTGGGGCGACTGCACTGTGAAGTTCGATGGAAGTACCACTACACAGTCTCCATGCTCAGTCGTGGAAGATGGTTACCGCACACCAAAATCTTGATGCCGCTGGATCTGAATATGGTTTCCAACATGCTTCTCACAATTCTCCAATCCAGCCAGTCGAGCCCAGAGGCTAATTTTGGGATTGCCAAGTCCACGAGATTCTGGTCCAGCATCTTGTTCCTCAGTCTGGTGAGACTCCTCCAGACATCTTCATAGGACGGTTTGTCTCATGGTCATCAAGTAGGAAATGTTTCTCTGACCCTTCTTCAACTGTAGGATTCTGTTCTCGTACTGTTCTGGGGTATCGCTGTTGAATACCACAGCGATACCCTTGAACATTTGGAGATCCTCTGCCACGCAGTGAGCTAGTACGTATTTAACAGGAACCTTGAAAAGGTCTCGTGGCTCTTCTTGAGTTACTCCATGTACGACCTTCTGTCCGTTCGAGTATAATGACATGAACTTCTGGAACGTCATTTCATCCTCTGGTGGTCTGAGGAAGCGAACTCGGTCGTTATTTCCAGCACAAGGAGCCAATTTATTAAAATGGACGATCCTAGGCTTTCCTCGAGGTGCTTTATGGATTTGGTAGACGAGATCATCAATCTTTTTCCTGATTTTGTACGAACCTTCCCACGAGTTCCGCAACTTCGGTGATAAACCACGGCGTCGCTTAGGGTTATACAGCCAAACTAGGTCACCGGTGTCGAATCCTCCAGCATTCGCCTTGATGTCATAGGCCTTCTTCATCCTATCGCTGGCACTCCGGATGTTCAGACGGAATCGTTCATGGATGTCGTCCATTCTCTGCAGAGTCTTAATGACATAGTCTTCCCCCGGCCTATTATAATACTGGCAGGGGTTTGCCCGGTTGACTAGTGTACTGCCGAACGATTGGCCAACAGGAACAGGTGTGGTTCTGGTCTTTCGAATGTCCAACAGTTTACATATTTCTTGGAACAGGTTGGACTCGAAATTTCTGCCCTGATCCGAATGCAGCTCCGATGGGACACCGAATCGACATATCCATTCCTTTACCAGGACGTCAGCGATGGTAAAGGCTTCCTGTTTGGGCAGGGCATAGGCTTCTACCCACTTACTGAAGTAGTCCATGGCTACCAAGATGTCCATGGTCGGTCTCTGAGAACGGGCCGGCGATGTCGATGGCGATTCTCTCAAAGGGACTACCCACGTTATACTGGCGCATTGAAGCTTTCGGTCGTATCCGAGGTCCGTTACTGGCAGCGCATACATCACACTTTCTGCACCAGTCCTTGACGTCGGCTTGACAATTAACCCAGTAAAACCGTTGTCTTACTTTCTGGAGGGTCTTCGTTACTCCCAGATGTCCTCCAGTGACTCCATCATTTCTTTGAGCACCTCCTGTCGTCTGTTCCTGGGTACCACTGTCTGGCGCTTTCTCCACCATCTTCAGACTCCAGCACCCGATTCAGAACCGGTGGCGAATAACCTGCTACCTCCTGCCCCGATGGTCTTCGATTACTTTTCTTCTATCAGATGACTAAACCAAGATCTGGGTCTTTCTCTTGGTCTTCCTTGATCTTAATGTCCTCTCAGTTGTCGTCTACAGCTGTAGTCTACAAATAGCTGCTTCCTTCTTTTCTGCTCGTCGGCAATGTGAGCAGTCATCGGGACATGGTCTCCGTAACAGGGCATCTGCGTTTTTATGGCTAGTCCCAGCTCACTGTTCTGTTTCGAAGTCAAATTCTTGAAGTCTCTCAATCCAGCGCGCTACTTGGCCTTCAGGATTTTTGAACTGCAGAAGCCATTTGAGAGTTGCATGGTCCATTCTCAACAGAAATCTTCTTCCATACACGTAATTGCGCTCTGGTTTACTAAGCGTTTTGCTGAAGTAGCCAATAACTTTCTCCTGTCCTTCCTGGATCTGAGAAAGGACTGCTAGAAGTCCCACGTTGCTGGCATCCGCATCTAAAATATCCCCGGTAGGGGATAGCTCAAAACAGGAGCATTGATAAAAGCTATTTTCAACTTCTTGAATAAGTCTTGGCATTCCTCGGATCACTGGAACTGGATCTGACCTTCTGTAAGTCGGGTCAATGGTTTGACGATGTTGGCAAACCCTAGCATATATCTGCGGTAGTAGGTGCACAAACCAAGGAAGCTCCGAAGCTGATGTATGTCTTTTGGAATGTGCCAATCCTTAACTGCTTTGATATTTTGTTCATCCCCATAGACAACGTGTCCAAGGTAACGGACACCTTTTTGGAACAGATGGCATTTGTTGGGACTAAGTTTCAATCCAGAACTCCTCAGACGCATGAATACCTCCTCCAGATTTTTTAAGTGATCGTCGAACTATTTTCCGACCACGATTATATCGTCGAGATACACTAGACACGTCTTCCACGAGAGCCCCTTGAGAACCGTCTCCATCAATCTTTCGAAGGTCGCTGGAGCAAAGCCCGAATGGCATAACTGTGAACGGCCACAATCCTGAGCCGATGGTAAAAGCTGTCTTTTCTCGATCTACTGTGGCCAATTCAACTTGCCAATATCCACTCCTCAAATCCATAGTCGAGAAAATCGTGGAGCCGGCTAGCGTGTCTAGGGTGTCGTCGATTCTTGGAAGAGGTATTCAGTTGGCGATAATCCACGCAGAACCTTGTCGAGCCGCCTTTCTTCTTCACTAATACGACTGGGGAAGACCAGGGGCTGTCAATGCACGATGGTTCAATTTAATGCTACCCAACACCAATTCAATTGGTAGTTCTCCAAGTACAGTGGCTGGCTCCCTTGTTGCGGTGCGTAGCTTCCAACTTGACGGTTTAATTCTTGCCGGTGTTTTGGCAAAGGTTGGCACAATAATGGTTCTCATCGCATCTAGCAGCATGGTCCAAGCTCGTTGTTGATGAAGCCGTCTACGAAAACGCCTTTGTCTTGTCGTTGGAGAATGGCCAACATATGAGTTTTTTACGGGGGCTTGCTGGGTACAGACCAACGATTGCCTCTTCTCATCGACCCTCTCTAGTTTTCCTGATTTGTTGTTGGTTCTTCGAATGCTGGACATTTGCTACGCACATGCCCAATTTTCTCATAGTTTCAGCATCTTATTTGTTTTCTCTCAGGCAACGCTTCTTTTATTACCTTTCTGATGGTGGCCTCAATATCAGCAGGCACCTGTCCCTCTTCCTCGATAGCTCGAACTTTGCTCTGCCTCTTGCAGGCTTGTTTTGCAGCCTTAAACTCCATAGCGCTTGTCAGTGCATCCACGAGATGTTTGGGATGAGTTAGTGTCAAGGCCTGCCTCGTTTCTTGGTCGCGAAGTCCGTCCAAAAATGCCTGAACTGCGAAACGCTCCATTTCATTTTCCGGTGTAGCAGGATATGTCAGACGAACCAATCGAGCTATGTCGGCTTCAAATTCCTGTAGGGATTCTCCTGATTTCTGGCACCGGTTCTTCAGCTGTGAATGGTAAACGTGCTCTAGGTGTGCCTGTCCATGCCGTAGCTCAAGATGTTTTATAAGTTGGTCATAGCCTTCCTGTTCTTGGGCTGTGAGGGTTTGCAAAATATTCGTTGCTTCTCCACGCAACGCCAGTATTAATGCTATCGCCTTTTCTCCTGCATTCCATCCATTCGCTCTGGCCGCCGCTTCGAATTGTCGGCGGTAATTAGCCCAAGGAGTTTTTCCGTCGAACTGGGGCGGTTTCATGGAGAGCTTTCCTGGTTCAGAAT